GCAATTCCCTTTGGATTCTTCCTAACTTCTTAGCTATGTTACTAATGATAGGGAACATTGACATGTAGTAGGATGGTAAATTAGCTAATGTACTTTTTTATGAATGTCACCCTCCCTCCCTTTGAAAGGTACTTAGTTCTCAGAGAAGATAGTCTCTTTTCAAACTCATTATCTGTTTATTGTGGGATGGAAAAGAGGTTCTGAACTATCACATGTTAAATAGGGAGGATAAAATGTAGACTAGAGAAGGGGAGAAAAATAATTCTTATAGTAGGGTGGGAATACCTGATCTGACATAAAGATAGAAAAGTGGCTAGTCTCATTTTACCTCCACACCAAGCAATGGGCCCCTTCTAATGATCAAAACATAAAGATAGAAAAGGGCATGCCAAAGATAAATTATGTATTCTCAATATTGTAAACAAGATATAAAATTGCTTCTTTGGGAAATTGTGGCTGAGTTTCAAATTAGAACTTAAAAGACAACAAAGAGTAGTAGGTGGACTGCTTGGGTAGGCTTAAATTCAACTTTGATGATTGCTGCCTTTTAAATCCGGGAGTGTCAAGAGTAGGGATCATAATGACAATATAGTACTCAGCTTTTGTGGCCCAATTGGATATGGTAACTTTCAATGGCTGAAACAAAAGCATTACACAAAAGTGATAATCTGCTTAATCAGAGCTTAAGAAGAGATCCCATGGAAATTCAGGCCAATTGGATAATGGTAACTCATTCTGATACCATTGTAGATGAGGTTTTCCCCTTCTATATGTAATGCTAAACCATTCTACTTTGAAAATGTAGAATTCAATAGCATGGACATTTTAGCAGTAGCATGTATATCTGATTATATGCTGAGTTGGTAACATGGTATGTTGAACTAATGTTTTCTAGAGGAATTTTTCAACAAACTAGTTGTGGAAAACTGGCGAATTAAGCACTGAGGGAGTTTATGTTTGTGAACTGGTTTTGTTTTATTTTTTATAGCTCCTACTTTGTTTTTTAACTCTGTTGGCTACCACATGCTCATACATGCAGCCACAACAATATGCTGAGTGGACAACCTTTAACTTGCCAAGTACAAAGATGCAACTCAATTCAACTGTAAACATTGTAATCAGCAAATCACAATAAAGCATATCTGTAGATGAAGCTTTTGGTATGACTTGTTAATGTCCTTTTCCTCTTCATTTGCAGGTTGGGTGGTTCAAAGGATTTTGATGATCCCTTTGGCAAATTAGTACAAATATCCCCTGGTGAAGCAGATTTGTGGAAGAAGTTACAGTCCAAGGTGGAGATAACTTTAAATGTTTCTATATAATTTCTTACTTACCATTGGAAACCATCTCAGGAAGAACTTTGGAAAATAAAATACCAGGGCCATTAACAATTAACAAAATCTAAAATCTACTTTTTGGCAATCAAATGAAAAACAAAATCTAAAGTCCAATGCCGTTGAAGATAAACGAAAAAACATTAAATGATAAACAAGATCATTATCTAAATCCAGTTCCACTTTCTTAATTAACATAGTTGGAAAGCAAGACCAGAAAAGAAATGAAGCATCTTAAATGAACATAGTGAAAGAGGTCAACATATTACAACAGAGCATTGGTGGTATGATTTTTATCCTGGTTGTAGTAAGAATCAGAATAATCAACAATTATGAAATACAGGAAGTAACAATTAATTTATAAAATAGGAGATGAAGCCACAACCAAGATGGAATCGATACACTTGGAGCATTTAAGTTTCTTATCCCAAAACCTAACCTAATTAACTAAAAGAAAAAGGAACATGACGCATATGAGTAAATAAAGTAATAAACTATACCAGTAATACAAAATTCCCTTGACAAACAAATTAAAATTCCCTTGCAATACAAAGTCACTTTTATACTAAAGCATGAAAAATAATTAATAAAGAAAATCAGCACCTTCAAATCTGGATGCACTTAAAGCATTATTTGCAGTTTGAACATTTCTTGCAACTAAAGGGAAAACAACAGAGTCAGATTTGGATTGCATCGTCGTATTCCTTGCAACAATAGCAGGAAGAAGAAACAAAGAATGAAGATGATAGAAAAAGAAGAAAAAATAGGAGGCCGAAGGGTTTTCCATGCATATTTTGTAATCTCCATTTAAAAGAATGAAAAATAAAGAAAAGTAAAGTGTTATCTACACCCATAAACCTTCGACCTCCTATCCAGAATCCCTTTTACCTTCAACCTCTTATCCAAAACCTGAATTCACCTTTCTGGATTGGGAGAAAAACGCTATTACCCACTATCCCCAACATTGTTAAACCATGAAAAACAATCAAAGGATTATATATGGCATTATACCTTCTCGGAGATTTCCCAATTGCTGGTATGCCTTCTTCTCAAGCTTTTAGGAGTCACAAAACACTGCTATTCCCCTTCCCAAGCTTTTTGGAGCCTTCTCAAGCGAGTAATGAGCGGAAAAACGCCATATGCCTTCTCAATGCTGGTATTCCCCTCTCCCGTCGATTTCTTGACCAGTCACTCAGTCCAGTGCTATGAGAAGCAGAACCTTTCTGTCGAGAAGCAGTGCTCTCCGCCAAAATTTTCTGCTAGCACAACCTTTCCGTCGAGAAGTGGGAGAGAACGCGGGAGGTTGGAGCATTTTTGGATTTCTAACTTTAGCGCCCTTTTGTCTGTATACCAATTCACTAATTAATTTAGACTGGTTCAAATCCGGTTTAAGGCTATAAGCATCGTGCCAATTCACCGCCGTGCGAGACTCGAAATCTGGTTTAATGGCGGTCATTTTAAGAACGCCACCTTAGCTCTAAGACCGCCAACTTTAAACCATTGGGTTAGAATGTTTTTCTTGTAGTGTACCAAGCACTCTTTGGATTTTGCAAGAAAATTTCATCTTTATCATTAGAAGGAATAAAACTGTTCGTTAATTTTTTTTCTAGAAAAGAAAATGGGCTACAAAGATTATTCTTTATTTTTTTCCAATCCATATTTTTTGACAAATAAGTGGATCACAAGATCAAAACCAACGCAGTTAATTAGGAAAATGTTTCTTTTCTTTTTTTCCCTGATTTTAGCCTATAATATTGTTAACATGCCATGGCTTGAGAAGGAGATCAATGTCCTTATGCTCAGCAACAAAGGGTTTTTTTGGCATCCACAAAATCTAAAAATGGAAAAGGATAAAATAAAAATTTTAAAATTTTAAATAAATTTGCATATGATATGTTTCACTGATAAAGGCCTAAAGGGTATTTTAAGTCCAGGGTCAGTCCACAAGGTATAATTAAGTCTATTTTAGAATCTTAGATATGTTTAAACTAATTTATAAAAACTCAGGATATGTTTAAATCTTTTACCTAATAACAAAACAAACTAGTTTCCTAGCTCAAATTATTAAAAAGATCACAACATAGCAAAAAGCTTTAAATATAGGGATGAGTTGACTACACTCCACCTCAGAATTTTGAATTCAATTGCAGACCTACAATAATTCAAAATTATAAATATCTCCACCTATAACACTTGTATTTGCCCGTGAATTGGCATCAATTCCGTGGCACCTACTCCAACTGTGCAGTGGAGCTAAGATTTCTGAAAGTGTACGGAACAGTAAAAATCCCTTTCAATATATTAGCCCGAGTTGTGTTTTTCAATAGAGAGGGTTGATTATTACAAATCAAACCCAAGTCTTCTAAATTAATAAATCAAACCCAAGTCTTCTAAATTAATAAAAAAATCTCAATTTAAATTTAACAATTTTAACATATGAATAATATGGTCCGTAAGTAAAAATAATAGGTATGGAGTGGTCCATTAATTAATATATGTACTAATGCTAAAGCTAATTAACCTTGATCAATTACTTTCAAATCCAAGAAGTGAGAACATTGTTTAGGCTGTGTTTGGAAACAATGCAAATAAGTGTGAATGCAAATATGTAGAGTGTATAATAGTTCATATAAATTGTAAAATTGGGTTATTTTTGCACTGACAAATTTACCTTCTTATCAAACGGACTTTTAGCTGTAATGGATGCAAACATGAATTTCAATAAAGCATATGCTTTTTTTTTTTTTTTATCAAAAGCCCACTTGAATGCAAATTTACTTCTTTTTTATTGATGTAAGGCTGCATTTGGAAACGATGCAAATGGAATGTAAATCCCGATTCAAGGTAAATTTGCACTTGACTCACTTTTGCATGTGTTTGGCAACATTACATTTATGCATTAACAAATGACAGATCAATGCATATTTACAGTGATAATAAGATGTAAAAGTACATCAATAAAAAAGAAGTTTGCATTCAAGTGGGGATAAAAAAAGCATATGCTTATTGGAATTCATATTTACATCCATTGCAGCTAAAAGTCTGGTAAAAAGGTAAATTTGTCAGTGCAAAATTAATCTAATTTTACAATTTATATGAATCATTTTACATTATATATTTGCATTCACACTTATTTTCATTGTTTCTAAACACAGCCTTCAAGCAAAAATAAGTGAAGAATTTTGGGCAATTCAACCTAAGCATTTGGGCTTTAGTAATGTTCTAATATTCTATATATTTTTCAAGAGAGGAGCAGTAAAACAGAATTAATGTAGTCAACCCAAATCCAATATAGCTGGGATAAAACAGGAGATGATAGTGAAGGGGGAGTTCGTGCACCATAATGGTTTTCCAATATGGACAAGGATTTTGGTATTGTACCGGCATGACAACCTAGAGTGAGAGCAGAGCTCTGAGTGTGAAATCCGAAGTCCTACCTAGCAGGGGCTCCAGCATATTTCATTTTCTCTGTTCACTCAAGGGTCTGTCCCATACCATCTCTGTGGGCGATGGCTACACCAAGGCTTAAACCTAACAGAATCATGGATTTATTTGTCACCCTTTTACCAAAGAAACTGAATAAAAAAAAAGGAATCACATTTCTCACTTGCAAAAAAAAAAAAAAAAAAAAAATCTGTCCGGATTTGGATGATCAGGACCTAATACCATTCAATGGGGGGGGGGACCATAATCTACTTAAATTTACTTTAAAATAATGCACGAACCAGGTAGAGTTTATCGCAAAGGGTTTAGATATGGATTGGCCTCTGGAGTCAGGCCCAATCAACAACACACGGCCACACCCTCGAACGGATCATACTCATAGAATACGATTTCAAGGGCAGAGCTGCCCCCCGTTTTGTTGTTTAGGTGGGACCCTGTTGCTAAGTGTTAATGATCCATCCTCATCTTCTTCGTTGTGGCCATCTTCAACGTGGCAAATTTAAGGGCCTGGACTCCAACTGTCAATCTTCCGTAGTCCGTTCCCACACCTGATATCTTTGGAATGAACTGAATTGAACGTTTTGGATAGCGTTTTGGTTCAGGAGGGCAATTTGCATGATCCACAGACCACCAGGCCGACTCCCTGAAATTTTATCCAAGGGAGGAAAATCCATGGCTCCTACCAGCTTCAGCTGCTTATCGTCTACCTCTCCCACACCCACCACTGCCGTTCCCACTTCTAGTAATCCCAACCCTGGATATAATCAGATCGACAATAACGACAACAACAGCGGTATGATAAGCCCCCAGCCCGATTCAGAGGCACACGGGCAGGTTCGGAAATTCAAGGCTAGCTCCCAGCTGAACCGATGGTCTAGGGCTCGTTCCTTACGATTAGGTCGGAGATTGGAACGCCCCGCAGTTCAAGGCGCCCAGACGACCGAGACGATCGCAGCGGTTGTGAGTGGAGAGGTCGGTAGCCCCCGTACTCCGTCTTCTCCTTTACCTAAAAGAGATATAATGGAGGTAAAGTCCATTTATATGGTTTCTGATGGCACTGGTTGGACGGCGGAACATTCCGTCTACGCAGCGTTGGGGCAATTTGAGAACTTCCTGGTCGAAAAGGGTTGTCCTGTAAATACCCATCTCTTCTCGGGGGTAAGCCTGTCTTTTTCTTCGCTATCCAACATTTTTTTTTATCATCACAGACTCACAGTCACAGAGACGAAATTTACTCTCGTATTTCTCCCTCTTCCTTCAATTGCACACATCCCTTATTTTATGCTTAAAATATATAGGAAAAAGTGTTACATCTCTCAAGCATTTTATTTATAGGGACTGATAAATATATAGGAAAAACTCCATGAACAGTTTATTGGCAAATGGAAAATGCAAGATTGCTACTTACATACATAGATAGAAGTGCTACCAACCTGGAGATGCAGACCCATATACGGAAAGAATGACTCAAAGTATAGACTTAGATGTAACTTTATCACTTGTCTTTATTGACTTAAGAAGAGTGCAGTGACCATATACGGAAACACCCTTATAAATAACAATATTCGAATTCAAATATTTCAATTCGAATATTAAACCAAATATTCGATTCAACTCGAATTCGACCGACTACTTGACTTTTTCGAATATGAATCCGATTAGATTTGAATCCGATTCGATTAACAGTTTTACAATAGACAAATTTTGAAATTTAACTGGTTCTAAACTTCTAATTTTCCTCTAATACATGATTCTAATTTTCTTGTTCAGGAATTAGGATTAAGAAAACAAATATGTAATCTAAGCATCTCTACAGCTGAGCTGAAAAATCTAATGTGGTGCTTCTCATTTGTGACTGAGAATCAATAAACCAATAAACCATTTAGGAATGATATTATCTATCTCATAACCAGAAACCAATAAACATTTAAGCTGAAAAAACTAGCTCATAACCAGAGACCAATAAACCAATAAATCATTATCTAAATCACTGCCAGAAATCTGTAATCTATTCTATCTCATTAGAATRGGAAAATGAATAAACCAATTCCTAAATCTGTAATCTATTCTATCTCATTTAAGCTGAAAAATCTAGCTCATAACCAGAAACCAATAAACCAATAAATCATTATCTAAATTACTGTCAGAAATCTGTAATCTATTCTATCTCATTAGAATGGGAAAATGAATAAACCARTTCCTAAATCTGTAATCTATTCTATCTCATTTAAGTTGAAAAATCTAGCTCATAACTAGAAACCGATAAACCAACAAGTCAATATCTAAATCACTGTCAGAAATCTGAATCTATTCTATCTAATAAGAAATTTAGAATAGGAAAATGAGCTGAAAAATCTAGCTCATAAACCAATAAACCAATAAACATTCAATCTCACAATCTGTAATCTATGAAAATCAATTTACCTTGAGAAAAGAGGTAGGGGATTGAGATGGAGATAGTGGGCTCCCAGCGGTGGGCCAAGTGTGAGTGTGTGATGGCGGCAGTCGTTGGGTCCCGGCGGTGCAATGCAATGACAGTAAGCAGTGCTGGCCGGTGATGGCGTGGTGCTGGACGATTGGCACTTGGCAAATGGCACTCTCTCAGCACAATGGCCAGTGATGTTGGACGGTTGAAGGCCTTGAGGCGTTGAGCAGCAGTGAAGGAGGCGGTAGTGGCCAGTGACTGATGCTCGACCACTATCACTAACGCTGCCGTTGGTGATGGTGGTTACTTGGGCGGCGGTGATGCTGAGTCAGTGAGTTGAGACTCGAAATATGAGACTGAGAGATAGAGGAAAGATGAGAGACGACTGACGAGAGATGACAGGCGGAGTAGCGAAGGATGAGGGGCGGTGACCGGTGATGGTGAACCTGGTGGTTGTTCGGGCGGTGCCCGGCGTCGGCGAAGGGAGGGACAAAGGGTTAGGGTTAGGGTTTGAAACTTGAAAGATGGAGAGTGGAGATTGGAGAGTTTGAAAGTCGAAACTTGGATTTCAAATGTTCTCATTTCTCATTTTTCAATGAAATTGTTTTTTTATTTTTATTTTTTAACCTTTTTTTAATTATATATATAATCGGTTTGGATATTTATCGGATCAGATCAATGTATATCCGAATTCGATCAGATAATTTAATTGGTAAAAGAATGGTATTCAAATTCGACCGAATATCCGATTCGAGTTATCCGAATTCAATTCGATTATGCTAAGTCTCGGATTTTCGAATACCGTTTATAGGCCTACTTATCAATATTGTATTACAGTAATACACTACTGAAATACTCCCAATACACCTCCTCCCTCAGTACTTTCATATGTGATAATGAAAACACTTTACACTCCTTTAACACTATTCTGAGCCTTGGGGTTTCCAACAGGTTCTGTTCCACCTCCGTCCATTATCCCCCCCCCCTCCTCCCCCAATCTCAAATCCTTTCTGAATTTGGCCAAAACATACATGACTTCTATGCTAATTTTAGATTTCTAGATTTTCAATCATTTATTATTCTTTTTTAAAATCAAATTTTAAAACTCTACTAGCCACTTAGATAGAAATAGTATATATTAAACAGGGATTTGCAACAATCTTTGAGAGCCTTGAAATGTTTCTTTTAGTGTACCAAGTTTGTTCGGAAATCACACGTATATAAATATACAGAAATAGCTAATGGCATCATTACCCAAAAAGAGCTAAAAGTAATATGATAAGTAGGTCTTTCGTCTTTGGTTATTGCAGTAGTGTTTGTTTTGAATTGACCTTCCATGAAGGTATATGACAAAGCCAGTAGCACCACATGGATTGCACCACCAGAATATATCCTGGGTTTCTAATCAATCTGCTCTATTGATCATAACCAACTGAATTATGGTTTGGACTACTTGACACAAACAACCATAGAAAATAGTATTAGCATTTGTCAATTTCCATAATATTGATCTGCATATGGAGTTAATCATACATGATGTTGAGGTTGTGTCTTATTTTACAACCATTGGATTGTTTTTAATCTAGCGGTTGGTGTGGCCCCCCTCTTTGTATATGTAGGGTTGTGAGAGTGAGAGAGAGAGAGTGAAAAAGAGGGTACTCTTGGTGGAAGAGTGGAGTTTTTTCTCTTGTTTTGTTCTTCGGATTGAGAGAGGAAAGGGAGAGCGAGTATACAAGGGTTAGGGGTTGGTTTGGGTTGCAAGCCACAAGGTACTTGTACTGTTTCTCTTTTTCTTTCATAGTGAAGAACAGGTCTCATCTCTCCCATGGATGTAGGCAGGAAGGCCGAACCACACAAATCCTTTGTGTTCTTGGTGGTGCTTGTTTATTTGCTTTTTGCTTGGTTGCCTTGTTGTTTTTTAGGTTATTTCTTGCATTATCTTGTTATTCTGGGTTCTGTTGAGGTAGTAGTCGACTACTCGGAAATCTCTCCGCAAAGCAGTCGACTACTAGGTGTCTACTGGTAGTAGTCAACTACCAGGACATAGTAGTTGACTACTAAGCCCGGGATCCTCAACACATCAGTGTAGGTGAAGATGTTTTATCTTCATCTTCTCATTGTCATAAGGTGGATTTTGTTTTCACACACACACATTTCCTGTTTTATTTATTTATTTTTTCAAACTTCTTCTATGATTTCTATCATTGAAATATACTAACATTAATTTACACTGTTAGATTGATAATGTGGAGCATCTCATGAAGATCATAAAACAAGCAGCTAAAGAAGGTGCAATGCTTCTATACACCTTATCTGATCCTTCCATGGCTGAGTCAGCTAAGCAAGCCTGCAAGCTATGGGGCATCCCATGCACTGATATACTGGGACCTGTCACAGAGGCTATCTCTTCCCATGTTGGTGTATCTCCATCCGGAACTCCTCGTGGTGGTGGGGCTTCATGTCGGAAGCTCCCTCTAACTGAGGAGTATTTCCAACGAATTGAAGCTGTTGAGTTCTCCATTAAACAAGATGATGGTGCCCTACCCCAAAACTTGCACAGAGCTGATATTGTCCTCACTGGAGTTTCTCGTACTGGAAAGACGCCATTGTCTATTTATCTTGCACAAAAGGGATATAAAGTGGCTAATGTTCCAATTGTTTTGGGTGTTGAACTGCCCCAAATACTGTTTGAGGTAGAGCCAGAGAAAGTATTTGGTTTGACTATAAATCCTACAGTCTTGCAGATGATTAGGAGAGTGAGAGCAAAGAATCTAGGCTTCAAAAGCCAAGCACGGAGTAACTATTCAGAGATGGATTATGTGAGAGAGGAGTTGGAATTTGCTAATAAGATTTTTGCAGAAAATCCAGTGTGGCCAGTGATAGGTAAGGAATATAAAGCTTACTTGTTTTCTTTGAAACGTGGGTATCTTAATTTATATGGTATCATATTTTCTTTCTAAAACCAGAAACAAATATAAATGAACCCCATAAGCACTATTTTCATATTGTAACAGGAGTAAATGCCGTGTTAGTGGTGGTTCATGTTGTGTTGATAGATGGGACTGTCAACAGTACATCATTGTCCAAGACTGAATTGGAATTCCTAGCCACTTAAGCTGGATCTAGGTAGCTGAAGTGAGATTTGTTTCTAATCAAATTGAATCTGATTCTTCCTAATCTGATCCAATTAAGATCTGAATCCGGTAAAATTACCACATATACCTAGGTAAAATTAACATTATTCTTATTGGTTTAGGTACTGTATTTTCATTCAAAGGGTCATGGGTTCAAGTCTCATTTCTTATTTCTAGTTCAATTGATGAATAAAATTTGATAGTATATACTATCCAAGTCCGATCTGGGATCTGATAGATAAAATTTGATGTTCAGCAGCTTGCTTTTATGTCCTGCTTCTCCTTTTCTTTTTCATTTTTCCCAAATCCTTGATTATCAAGACATTGTAATACGGAATTTTAGTTATTATCGTGGACTCTTGCTGCCTGAATGATGAAAAGAATTTGTGAAACGTATGCAGTTAATTTGATTTTGATCCTACTGTCGCTTGACTGATTGCAGAAGTGACAGGAAAAGCAATTGAAGAAATAGCATCCGTTGTGTTGAGGCTTTACCATGACCGGAAGCAAACGTGCTCAGTGCCACGCATATCAAGATACTACTAGAGTTTGTAGGTTTCTGTATGACGATATGCTGAGGCTGAACTAGAAGTGACCCAATTGCAAGATGGGTATCTAGCTCTACTTGCTGGTGCATTTGTAAGGTCATTTTAATATTGCTGTATACTGTAGCAGGTAGAGCTTAATTATTCGGCAAACAAGGTCTCCTAGCTCAGAACACAACCATTCCAGGCCTTTGAGCAATTCTTTCTTTATCAGCCCAAGGAACATGATAGATGAGATTATTACTGTCATTGCTACAACTTGTGTTCCCTTGTACATTGCGTTTCTGATCCCTACATAAATATATGTTTAGTGACCATCTCTACCTTGTTGCAATCTATACAATCATATGTAATGGTGAGGATGGAGGAGTTATACATTCATAAAGAGTGTAAAGTTTGCAAAATCATAGTGAAAAGTGATCTTTTGTCTTCCCTTATCTGTATGCCCTATGCCCACTCTTGATTATCTAAAATTTAATTGATTTTGTTTGCTTCCTGAATCTTCTTTATGGGGGTGGAAACATGGTTATGGCAGATTTTGTTTTTTGGTAGTCATTTTAGCATTTGTGTTTAAGCAGCATAGTCAACCCCCTGTTCCCATGGAGACACATTGGACGGACACCTCTTCCGTATGTGTGGGTTAAACTCAATATTGACGGAGCTGTTAATGGTTGCTGGTGCAGGTGGAGTTTGCATCTGCTGACTATAACACATTACTGGCCACGTTCATCCAGCCACATATTGGGAACATCTTTTGTACTTTTAAGTTATATGATCAGTAAATCGGAACTCGTGCAGGTCTGCTATTTTGAGACTTTACAGGCCGTCGTGAAATCTGGTGAGTCATTCATCTATTTCAATGAACGGACGTTGCTAATCGAGAGGCAGCCTAGTTGGTGTGCTGTGTGCTGGATGAACTGTTCTGCCGTAGTATGGTTTTAAATCCTGTTATATTAGGTAGTATGGTTTTAAATCCTGTTATATTATCAGAGTTGTTGACGTAATGTTGTATTATATTCACTTAAAAAGACTAACAATACTGAAAAAGAAATACTGAATTTGGTTTCTAAAAATTCCAATCAATCTCGAACTTTTAAAGTTTATATATAATTTTTATTTTTTATATGAAACTTGACTCGTTAAACTCAAACATGCAGGCGATCTAGTATTTCTGGCTCAAATCGAGATTGAGTCCGGTCTTGTGCCTTAGGGCTGTACACGGGTCGGGTTGGGTCAGTTTATTGGGGTTTTCCCAACCGATCCGACCTGGTCAGGTTACCTGAGGTGGAAACCGAAACCGACCCACTGGTAGGTAAAACTGACCTGGTCGGTTTGAGTCGGGTTGGGTCGGTTTTGGTTTTGCTCCTGTAGTCAAACCTTATTTCTGAAACTTGTCTCACCTTTGGTCTAGTGTTAATCTTACTAACCCCTGTTCCACTCAAAAAGCTTTTGTATTCAATAAGACAAAAGACAAAATTGTTTTATAAAAGATAAAAGTTATCAATATTCAATAAGACAAAAAATAGAAGATAAAAGACAAAAGTTATCAATATTCAATAAGACAATAAAATAGAAAGTCAAGTTGTTTTATAGAAAGAAGGCTGAAACATTTATATTTAAAGAAATTTTCTAAATTCTAATATAGGTAAAAGAGGACATCTAATTCTAATTGTAATTGCCTAATGGGTTACCTATTTGGTGTAAAAGACTAAAAACTAGGATAGATACAATTTAATTAAGTAGGAACTAAAAGAGAGGACTGTTCTAGTTTTAGTAGAAGACTAGTTAAGTAGGAAACTAAGAACTACTGAACTAGTAGAAGACTAGTTAAGTAGGAAGATTAGTTCGGTTCGGTTTCGGTTTTTACACAAGAAAACCGAAACTGACCCGATATTTCGGCTTATAAATTTGCTCAACCCGAAAACCGATCGATGTTGATGAAAACCCAGCCGACTCGGATTGGGTCAGTCCGGATTGGTTGGTTTGATCGGTTTGGGCTTTATTATGAACAGCCCTATTGTGCCTTATGCTTTTCTGTCAAGTTGAAATACTCTAATATTCAGACTTGGCTCGGCTTGTATCCATTCTTACAGGAGATATTTTAATATTTCTCTTATGGCTTTCACTACGCTAATCAGGGTCGAAATATGTTTTTTTTTTTTTTTTTTGTATTTCATCTTTTGAATCAAAAGAAAAAAAATACGCTTATTATTTTATCCAGTGCGCTATATGCACCTGAAAAAGAGGAAAGCCGCATCCTCACTCGTAAGCGAGAGCCCCTAATTCATATATCTTTTTCTTAAAAACACAAATGGACTCGATTTTGGATATAAATTTTGTTATCCAATAGACCCATTATTTCGGCTGTCATGTCATGGTTCTGGATTATCTATAGGCCGGAACTGGTTTTCCCATTCTGACCCGAATAACACCCGTTATGATTATTATAGCGATGCTATCAATTGGGGATGAGTAAATGGTTTCTATTAAGGTTTGAAAAATCGGACTTGATATGAAGCCGTTTTTGGATCGGTTCTCGGGTCAAATGATCCAATTGTTCGGTTTGAATGGATAGCGTGTTCTGATTTAAGAAAACAAAAAAAGTTAAAAAAATAAATAATATAAAAATGGCCAAAATTATTGTTTGGGTTGATGGGTCAATGGTTTGACTACCTGGGTCAGTGGGTCGTTGACCAAATCAATGGTTTTTGTCTAAAAGCGGTTTTAGGGTAAAATGGAACCCATTACCTAATCGATTTTCAGGTTAATCGGTCTGACCATCCGGTCCGGTCCGATTTTCAAAACAATGGTTTCTACCTAGAACTGAATGGAATCAACCTTAAACCAGCCATTGAACTGATTCTACTTAATCTATTACTATGTAGGATGGGTCCAAACCTTCGAACTAACCGTTTGGGGGCTTACCCCACCCGAATCAACCTAGAGATTTGGCATTGGTTGGCCTTGGTGGAATCAGCTTTGAATCAAATTTGCCTAAAAATAAATCACAAAATACTTTAATTTAAGATGTAAAGATTTGAATACAAGTATTCATGTTTACCAAGATCATGGACTTAACCGCTAAGTAAAGTAAAAGATAATATTTATAAAATTTAAATTATAATAATTTTTTAATTTATACATCATCATTGAAAATCATTTAAACATTTTATGATTGTAATTTTTTTCTAATAAAAAAAATATATTGATAGTAATATTATCGATGATAATTATGTCATACTTATAATTCTTAATGTTAAAAACAAAAGTTAACATACAATACTATATTAAACTCAGCAACATATGTGGCTATCTAATTTGATTTTTAATGTTATGGAATGCTTTTTTTCTTTTTCAAGAATAGGTTTTGATGAGGGCAGATTTGGCCCTCCAGTGAAATTGTGACACGTGGCACATCGTGACAACTAGGCGACACCCAGGCAACAACTTACCAAGTTGGTGTCCCACCCCGGCACTGGCCTGCGCGGCCTGGCGCACGGCCTACACGCGGCCTGCGCACTGCCCGGCGCGGCCTGCATGACCTGGCTGACTTGGATCAGCCTGGCACATGATTCGACCTGGCCTATAAGCTCCTGGATTAGCCCGACACATGATCTAACCTAGCCGACCTAGCCGACTTGGACCAGCCTGGCACACCAAAGAGCTCGCCAAGGAGCTAGGCAGCTCTCTAAGGAGCTCGCCAAGGAGCTCACCACCAAGGAGCCAGGTAGCTCGGTAGAGCTCGCCACAAGCAGTTCGGCATAGCCCAAGGAGCTCGGCATAGCTCCCCCGGGCAGCTCGCCACTTGTAGGGTAGCTCGGTACAGAAGAGCAGTTTGGCATATCACAGGAAGATCTCCTGCTTGACAACCGTACCTGACAGATTTGGAGACATGTGCCCACGTCTCTCGCCAGGCGGCACCTTGTCTGGCAGAGCCGTACTCTGCAACAGTTTCCTGCACCCGCCGCCTCAGCTTTGACAATGACAACTGCGACAGAGAGACAGAGGCAGTTATGCCTGACTTGATAGAGGCGGTCACGTTTGATGTGACAGGACACTGCTATATAAGGACTCCAACCCCCAAAGGCAAAGGGGGAGAATGAAAAAATGGAGGTAATCCCTGCTCTCTAGCTCTCTCATTCCTCTAATATCATCTTCAAGCTCTTGACAATCAGAGTGCTAACTTAGGCATCGGAGAGTCCCCGCCGGGTAAATACCCCCGGGCCCCCTATTCAGTTCTCGCAGGTTCCTCAGCTCCCGCCGCCTACAAAGAGGAGRAAAAGATGGAGTTCTCGCAGGTCCCTCAGCTCCCGCCGCCTACAAAGGAGAGGAGATCACCTCATGCAGAGGGCAGTTGGGTTGCGCTACACCAGGGAGCTCCACCATCCTCTGAGTTACAGGCCGCCTAGGAGCAGGTTAAATGACGAGTCCACCAAAGTATCTCACCACCAGGGAGCTCAGCATAGCTCTCCCCCAGGTAGTTTTCCATCAGGGAGCTCGACATAGCTCTCCCCAGCTCGGCATAGCTCTCCCCCAGCTCGGCATAACTCTCCCCCAACTCGGCATAGCTCTCCCCCAGGCAGTTAGCCATGAGAGAGCTCGTCATCAGGTAGCTCACCACTAGGGAGCTCGTCACCAGGTAGCTCACCACCAGGGAGCTCGTCATCAGGTAGCTCACCACCAGGGAGCTCGTCACCAGGTAGCTCACCACCAGGGAGCTCGTCACCAAGTAGCTCGTCACTAGGTAGCTCACCACTAGGGAACTCGTCACCAGGCAGCTCACCACCAGGGAGCTCGTCACCAAGTAGCTCGTCACCAGGTAGCTCACCACTAGGGAGCTCATCACCAGGTAGCTCACCACTAGGGAGTTCGTTACCAAGTAGCTCACCTGCAGGCAATTCACCATCAGGGAGCTCCACCATCCTCTCCTGGGAGCAGGTCAAATGATGAGGCACTTAGCCAAAAAAAAATTGATACATCACAAAAATTGGTACGTGACCAGAAACGGTTACATCAGGTTTCATTTTTTTTTTAGTGAGGAAAGAATATGTTCCATACCATAGGTAGACCATGGAACTACCAAGGCAAGAACAAACCTTGGAATTGATCTTGATAGGGTGGGTTCTAGTACCAAAAACCTAGAATCAGCTTTAGAAGGTAGGTTTCAAGTTTTTGCCTTGGAATTGAACAAAACTATCCATTCTCACCACTACTCTCAATGTTTTGAATATATTTTTGGGAGAATGACAGTTCAGCCCAAGGTCAGAATTCGTAGGCACAAAGTATAGTTGGGGTAGGTGCCAGCTCGGAATTGATGCTAGAGCTGCAAGTCGGGCCAGGTTAGGTCGGGTTGAGGCCAACCCTAGGCCAACCCTAAGTTCTAAACCCTAACCCTAACCCAAACCGACCAACCCAATCCCAACACTAATCCTAACTAAAT